AAATGTGAGTGATTGTAAATTGGTTTCACAGTAGTACTGAGTACATTGGATTTTTTTTTTCCATTCCTGAGATACTTTACTAAGAAGAATATTTTCCAGCTCCATCCAATAAAGATATTTGCACCAGATTGTTCATTGCAGCTCAGTTCATAATTGCCAAGTCATGGAAGAAGCCCAAGTGCCCATCGACCCATGAATGGATTAATAAATTGTGGTATATGTATACCATGGAATACTATGCAGCATTAAAAAAATGAAGACTTTACCTCTTTTAGGTCTCTAGGGTTTGGGCCTCACTTTTTCTCTGGCGCTTGCCTGCCTCACCGGCTATGTTGCAAGTTTTCCCCTGGAGTTATATTTGGAGAAATGGCAACACAGCATTGTTTAGAGCTGACAGATTAAGTCCCTACATAGGCCAGTATTTCTGAGAAAACAAAGCAAAACCCCTTTGATGCAAGCACTCCTGTTAATACTAAAATGTCATCCCCAGTACATCTGGCAGTTCCTCAGTGAGTGGCTTAGAGTCCTTATAGTGTTTTCAGGGAAAAAAATAATCTAGAACCAAACTTACAGGTAAAGATCTTCATTTCGGTAATGATTAAACCTTTTTTTAAAATTATTAAATCATAGCTATGTACATTAATGCAATTATGGGATACAATGTGCTGATTTTATATACAATTTGAAATACTTTCATCAAACTGGTTACAAGGGTACATGTTAAATCTACTAAGTGTAGAACATAAATGTCTTAAGGCTATAATTAAACCTTTTAAATTCCTTTAAACCTTCCTAGAAATTTGAGACCCAGGTATGTGACCCAAGTACCAAGTAGGTGTCTGGGCTTTTGTGTTACTGTGCGCAACAGAGTGAGATGTATAACGTAGGAAGAGAATTGAGCCAGCAGCGTCACAGTCTATGTGGCATGTAAGTCAAGAGACCACTGTCACCAGTTGCCACTGCGGGGAACTTCTGAAGTCCTGATGTTTGGCCTACCCTGGTGAGGCTTCAGAGGGGCAGTGCCCTTCCACTCACACCCTTGCCTTTTCAGCTCAGTCCCTTCTGCTGTCCTGTTGTCCAAGAGGCTTTTCCACAGCCCAGCTGCCTGTGGGACAGGGCAGAGTAGCCCAGCCTTCGTGGCATCCTGGCTTCCATGCTGCCCTGGCGGACTCAGACGTCTTGTATGCATTATTCATAATAATGATACTAGTAAGCATTTGTTGCTCCCTTAATATATGCCTGACACCATTTTATGTGTTTTATACTAATTATATGATCCGCTCTTTGTAAGTCCTGAAGGCATGAAATGAAATTATCCCCCCTTTGCAGGGGAGGTTAGAGACTTACTCACTGCCACACAAGCAGTAAACTGTGGTACAACCAGGATTTGAATGCAGGGGAGTTGATCTCAGAGTCCATTTTTTCCCTTGATTTTCCATTAGGGTAAAATGTACACACCATAAAATATACCACTTAGACCATTTTTAAGAATGCAGTTCTGTGCATTAAGTTTACTCACATTGTTGTGCTGGCATCGCTGCTGTCCATCCACAGAACTGAAACTCAGTCCCCATTAAACTCCACACTGCCCTGGCCACAGCCCCTGGCGCCCCTGTTACACTTCCCGTTCCGAGCTCATTCTTTTAACCACCACATCTTCCTGTCTCAGGAACGCAGGCGTGGACTAATCTGATTGTATTTTGTTGCCCTTCTTTTTCTGTGGTCACTTCCATGCTGATCCCTCCCTTGTCCATTTTAAGGTTAGCTTAAATGTGAATGTGGATTACAAGGTGGACTAGCTTCAGTGGCCGAGGTTGTTAGCTCCCCTCTCCTTTCCTTTTGCCAGTCTGAAATCATTAAGTTTTAAAATAACACCTCTTCTTTTAACTCTTGATTAGAAGAACTTAGATGTTCATTTTGGGAAGTTTGGAAAATACAAAAAAGCATAAAGAAGGTAATTAAAATTCCGTGCACTACTAAGTCTTAGAGATACCCAGAATTAACATTTGGGTGCTGTGATCTTCTAGTATTTGTCTCTATGTTTCTATAAAAATATATTCAACAAAATTAGAACTTTTTGATCATATTGCTTTATAACCTGTTTTTTAAGGTATGTAAGTGAATGTATGTATTTAGAATGAGGGAAAAAACAACAAATTTTGAAGTGTAAATAATTGACAGAAACCACAAACTTTCTAAACCCAAAATAATAACACCTGTTTCTTAATTGGCTGTCTAACATTCTTCTGTGATGTTTCTTTTCCTATGTTTTTTGGCTGTACATTCTTTTATCACTTGTGGCAATGTTAGGATATTTTCTATAATAGGACTAGAAAGATCATTTGATCTTAAGTATGACTAACATTTTTACAATTTATTTTACTTTTAAGAGACTTTACTTTTAGAGCAATTTCAGGTTGACAACAAAATTGAGAGGAAGGTGGAGAAAGTTCCCAGACACTCCCTGCCCCCGCACAAACACAGCCAGGGGATAGTGGCCCGTTTGTTAGAATCGATGAACCTACAGTGACAGTCCCCTCAGTCACCCAGAGTTCACATTTTACGTTAGGGTTGCGCATTCGTGCATTGTAGTATCATACAGGGCGTTCACTGGGTAAAAGTCCTCTGGGCTCGGTCCGTCCATCGCTGCTTCTCCACCTTATAACCCCCGGCACCCACGGATCTTTCTCCTGTCTGTAGTTTTGCCTGTTCCAGAGTCATCTCACTGGACTCGGGCAGCAGTATGTGGCCTTATCACATTGACGACTTTCAGTTGGTACTTTGCATTCAAGTTTCTTCTGTGTCTTTTCCCAGCTCAATAGCTCTTTTTAGCACTGAATAATGTTTCCAAAGTTACCGACTTTTTTACTCAGCATTTTGCCATGTTTAACTGTTGTACATCATTAAACAAGACTTTTGTCTGTAAAGAGCTTGTAGTTCAATAAGAAGACAGGGAAAGTGTAGTGCGGTATGAGGAATATGAAAAGGAACCAACTCAAGGAGCATGTAGGGCAGGGCACACCCGCATTGTACCCCTCCTTGAGGTGATAAGGAAGCAGACAGGGTATAAGATACTGTCCCTTGCTTAAGGAATTCTATCAAAGTTGGCATAATAAGCTGATTAGTGCCCATGACATAAGAATAGGTAGTATAGGGTGGTGCCTGTGGCTCAAAGGAGTAGGGTGCTGGCACCATATACTGGAGGTGGTGGATTCAAACATGGCCTGGGCCAAAAACTGCAAAAAAAAAAAGAGTAGGTAGTATAATCTGGTAGTTTATTTAATATGGTCAGAATGCTAAGTTGTGAGCAATAGATCCCGGTGTTCCAGGAGAGGGAAGGGGTGGCAAATCTGTGCTTGCTGCAGTCCTGGGGGAGGAAGTCCTTGAACTGAGCCTTCAAATCTGGGTAGGGTGGAAAGAGGGAAGGGAGAGAGCAAGGCCTGGTGGCTTCTGTCCGGTGCCTGACACAGTACCTGGCACAGAGCAGGTGCTCAGTTACGTAAGTGTTGATGACAGAGTGGCCATGACTGAATGAACAGATTGGAAGCGAGACACCTCTTTTAACATCAGAGATGTTGACTGTCATGCACATCAGTGTTGGGAGAGTAAACCGCAAGGCCCTTTGGGAAAACGTTCAGCTTGTTAGTATCTGTAAAATGTGAGATGCCTTTGACCCAGAAATTCCACCTAGAGAAATCTACTGAAAAGCCATGTTTTCCTATATTTTTAGAGATGTATGATTACATAGTTTGTGATATATCCTTATATGGACTTTGTTTTAAATTTGTCAAACACATATAGCATTTATGAAATATTAACGCGCCCAGAGTGAGCAGCTCAGTAAGGCTGTGGACATTCAAGGGGAAAGTCAGGTCTGTCTTGGGTTGGATTGCCACCTGACCACGTGACTTAGCCAGAGGCTTCTTAATGACCTGAATGGTAGGTTGAAGTTTAGGAAGATCACCGGAATATTCCAGTGAATACCAAGATAAGTGTGTTACTTAATGAATTTTTTTAAAGGCCTCATAATGATGATATTTGCTGGTAGTACATGATAAACAGAGTTGAAAGATTGTGTAATTCAGGCCAGAAACCCCACCAGATTATTAAATTATCTTTGAGAGTCTATTCTGATGGCATCTTTCTGGCAGACAAACTTTAAAGTCTTTTCTGTAAAATACACACTAGCCTTCTCCACAGTCCCTTCTATCTTGGTCTGAGAAAGCTCAGTGTTGTCGGCCAAAAGCAGTCTCAAATTTCTTTTGGAAAACTACTCACAAAAATGCTACATGTGGTTGATCTTTAGCCTACTATTAAAAGATACACTTTGACATACTGAAATTTTATCAAATTTACTTGAGCAGTTATTCATGACTTGGGCAGCCCCAGACCTCAGGTAGTTCAGTCGTTCCACCCCGAGGGCAGTGGGGAAAGCTTTTCTAGGGCATTCAAGCTTCTGGAGGGTATACTTTGAGGGAGCCAGACAAAGAATATATTCGATTGTTAAGGTGGAAGGTCCCTGGGTAGAGGTAAGTTTGGTGGTTTCTGATTGGTGGACCTTAAGTTTACATTGAAGTGGGTCTCAGTTTGCTCATGTAGGAATCCAAGACACCAGCTCTAATCTTAGCCTAATGACACCCCAATTAATTACTTTAATACCACTATGAAGAGTTTTGCTTTTTGTGTTCCCATCACGTTTATGTCCCATTTCCTAATTTTCATGTAAGACTGACTTATTAATAGGTATCCACTCATGCTCAGCACTCGGTAATGAGTATGAGCGGATGCCTGTTAATAAGTTTGGGTGGTCTTGGTATTTCCTTCAAGGCCTGGGACAGTACACTCCATATTATTTATCAGATGCTCTGGAAAGATGTGTGAAATTGAATATTAATGAAATTTCATGGATTACTATTTTCTGCTATTTCCTTTCTAGAAATGTGACAGCTGGTAAGTTTCCTGTGTTACTGGACATAACAGTTTGTTTTCTGGTTAAATAGGAGCTATCCAAGATCACCATGCCAGTTATATTTAATGAGCCCTTGAGCTTCCTCCAGCGACTGACTGAATACATGGAACATACGTACCTCATCCACAAGGCCAGTTCTCTTTCTGATCCTGTGGAAAGGATGCAGGTGTGTGTCAAGCAAGCCCTAGAACAGGGCAAAGTCCTAGAGACCTCTCTACCAACCCGCCCCAGACACACACACAAAGTTAGTGTTAAGTCCAGTCTGAGGTTGGAAAATACCAATGTTAAAAGCTATCAGCGTATTTGGAGTGAGAATTGCAAGAGAAGCAGACAGTGGTGGTCCATAACCAAATCCGGATATTGGTGAGCCTTTTCCAAGGCTGCGTTTTGGAAGGTAGCATTGTGTTGGGGAGAAAAGTCAACCTTTGTTCTCAGATATTTCCAAGAAGGTGTGAACACACACAAACATTTACATATATATTTTTATATTTTATGTCTGCATTTTTATATTTGTACATATTTACATGTATAAATATATACACATTGCTGTATTTAAAAGATAGCAAGGAATTGAACTTCTTCATTTTCTTTCAGATAGAGGATGTTATGAGATGTACATGAATAGACTAGATACAGGCATAATATTGTAGACACGATGTTCTCCTTCAGCCAAAGCATTAGCATTCTAAACTAAAACCTTCCTGTTCTTTCATTTATATAAATCTGCTTTTTCCAACCTCATTGGACTTAACACCAATTAACTTGAGTTTTATATCTCTTTTTCTCAACTTGAAGTGTACTTTTTAAGAAAATTTAATGAATTAAAAGTAACTTTGGTTTTGCAAAAATATTTTTAAGTCCTTGAGAAAATTTATAACAGTCTTAGGGTGGTATAAAAACCATGCTTGGGGTGTGGCCCAGCGGGTGGGGCACTGGCCCCACATACCAAGGTTGGTGGGTTCGAACCTGGCCCCAGCTGAACTGCAACAAAAAAATAGCCAGGCATTGTGGCGGGTGCCAGTAGTCCCAGCTGCTTGGGAGACTGAGGCAAGAGAATCGTCTAAGCCCAGGAGTTGGAGGTTGGTGTGAACTATGATGCCACGGCACTCTACTGAGGGTGATAAAGTGAGACTCTTGTCTCAAAAAAAAAAAATTTTATCAAAAACCACACTTGGGAGTAACTCTAGGAAGTGCCTGAAGGTAATTTTCATTCTGAATATCCAAGTCTCCATGTCATGTTGCTGGAATCATCTTAAATACCTAAAGTAATTAAACTCTTTGAAATAACTGTAAATTACTGTGTTCAGCAAGGTTTGAAATCCTGACAGGACGAGTGGCGAGCCCGGCCGTCTAACCTTCTGCCCTCTGTCCACAGTGCATAGCCGCGTTTGCTGTATCTGCGGTCGCCTCTCAGTGGGAACGCACCGGAAAGCCTTTCAACCCACTTCTGGGAGAGACCTACGAATTAGTTCGGTGAGGTCTTTCCCTCCATTCCGGATGGATAGTTGAATGTGCATGATTTGTATATTACAGCTTTTCAAATGAAGAGGAAAAATATATATATTATCACCAACAGCCATATATGACTAGAGCAAGTTCTTGATTTTGATACTTGTTTTTGTGATTTACTAGAGACTGGCAAACATGTTGAAACATACATAATGTGTCATTATAAAAAGTAACTGCAAGGATTTCAGTGTTCCAGTCACACAGGATTGATTACCCTCTTTCCTCCTTATGTATATCATAATAAATGGTTGGAGTTTGTCTTATGACTGTATAAAGTCTGTTAGTATAAATGCATGCTGTTGCCACACAGCCAGCGAATGCGGCTGCAAGTGTAGTTCTGTTTGCTTTTGCCAGCCTGTTTAAACAATTAGGGGAATTTATTTGGCTTTAGTTTTTCTATATTTTCCTCCTCTTCTCTACACAAGTTTTGATCTCACTCATTCCCTAGATGTTTGAAAATGAACACACTGAATTTCTGTCTTATAAAAGGAACAAGAAGTTTTAAATTTCATGGTGCCTGTGGCTCAAAGGAGGTGGCGGGTTCAAACCCCACCCCAGCCAAAAATTGCAAAAAAAAAGTAATAATAATTAAAGAATACATTTTCATGGTTAATATTACTGTTTCTTATATATTACCCAAATTCATGTGCGTGTTCTCTATTTTAATGTGTTCAAAGTAGCTAGCATTACAGTAACATTGGATTTAATAGTTTGGGTTGTGTTTGCATAATTTCTTGTATGTTAAGTTGTTCTTTCATAAGGATGATGATAAAGAATTATTTATTTTGTTGAACATGTTTCTTTAATGCTTTTACATTGCTTTTTGACTGAAATGACAGTAATGTACACATAATGATAGAGTTGATTACAATGTTGCTTTTTTTTTTTTTTTTCTTTTTAAACCTTAAGGGAAGACCTTGGATTCAGACTCATCTCAGAACAGGTCAGCCATCATCCACCAATCAGTGCATTTCATGCAGAAGGCTTAAACAACGATTTCATCTTTCATGGCTCAATATATCCCAAACTGAAGTTCTGGGGGAAGAGTGTAGAAGCAGAACCCAAAGGAACCATCACCTTGGAACTTCTTGAGTAAGTTCTAATCAAGCCATTGGACCCTTTTGGTGTTGACCTACTTTTAGGTATATACACTTGCACACAGACCTGAGCTTTTTATTCAAAGCTAGAAAAAAAGCAAGAAACAGCTTTTATACAGTGTAAATTACCTACTTCAATGTAAAAGAATTTAAAGAACATGGTGATAGGCATTGCTAATCAATCAGGGGATGTGTAAATAGTTGAAGGTGTTTGGATCTATTTTAAGATAGGGGAGTTAATTACTCCATGACAGTTCTCATGAAATAGGCTTTCTGTATATCATGGCGCCAGTGTTTGCTCAAAGCTTTCAAAAGGAAATCACCTTAAGAAATACTGACATGGGCTCAGCGCCTGTGGCTCAAGCAGCTAAGGCGCCAGCCACATACACCTAAGATGGCGGGTTCGAATCCCCAGCCCGGGCCCGCCAAACAACAATGACGGCTGCAACCAAAAAATGGCCAGGCGTTGTGGCGGGCGCCTGTGGTCCCAGCTACTTGGGAGGCGGAGGCAGGAGACTCGCTTGAGCCCAGGAGTTGGAGGTTGCTGTGAGCGTGATGCCATGGCACTCTGCCCAGGGGGACAGCTTGAGGCTCCGTCTCAAAAAAAAAAAAAAAAGAAATACTGACATGGCAATCCTGTGGCACATGTTAGATGTTAGGTACATTAGGAGTTGTCTTCTTTTGCAAAATTAGTTTAACATTCACAGGCAGTCCCAGTTCCAGGCCAGACAGAATAAGCATATTCTATACACTGACTATGAGAAACCCTGGGCAGAGACAGAAAGCGACAATCGGAGGACTCTGAAAAGTGAACACTAGCCAGCCGACTGGAGAGAAATCAAACCCCAAGGGCCAGTGTGACTTTGAGTTCACTGGTTATATATTATTCTCCTGTATGTCCTGCCTTAGAGACAGAGCAGCAATCACAGACTGGGCATTGGAGGCAGGCAGAAAACGTTCTAAGAGACTAAAATGTAAAACTAGAAAGCTTTTGGAAGAAAACAGAGGAGAAAGTCTTGTAGCTTTGAATTAGGCAAAGATCTCTTGCATGTACAATACCAAAATTATAATCCATAAAAGACAAAATTAGATTTTATCAAAATCAAAAACTTTGGATGTGAGAGATACTGTTCAGAGAAGACTAGCTATAGACTAATAAAAATTATTTTCAAATCATATATATCACACATGGCTTATGTTCAGAATATGTGACGAACTCTCAGAACTCAACAATAAGAAACAACTCAGTAAGAAATTAGCCCAAAGATGTGAACAGATAGTTCACTGGAAGAGTAGATGAATGGCAGATAAGCACGTGAAAATAGGCCCAACAGCGTGAATTACTAAAGAAATGCAAAATTAAAACCACAGTGAGATACTAGTGTACAGTTTTAGAATATCTAACATCTAAATAATTTTTAAAACTGGTAGTACCAAGTGTTGACAAGGACACAGAACAACTAGAAGTCTCATACAGATTGAATATTCTTTTCCAAAATGCTTTGGATTGTAAGTGTTTCAGATTTTCACATCTTTTCAGATTTGGGAATATTTGCATTCTGCCTACTGCTGAGCATCCCAAATCTCTACATTCGAAATCAGAAAACTCCAGTGAGCACTCATGTGAATGTCAGGTTGACACTCCAGGTGTTACAGGTTTTGGAGTATTTTGGGTTTGGAATGCTCAACCCATATATTGTTGGTGTTGGAATGTAAAATGATAGAGCCACTCAGGAGAACAGTTTGGCACTTTCTGTTTACCACATGACTCAACAGTCTTCCTCCCAGGTACTTACCCTAGAGAAGCAAAAACTTACGTCCATACAAAAGCACCTATATATTATAAGGGTTTAGCGTAGATTATTCATAATCACCAAAAATTGACTACCAAATGCCCTTTATGCAGTGGTTCTCAACCTCTGGGTTGCCACCCCTTTGGGGGTCGAACGACCCTTTCACAGGGTCACTTAAGACCATCCTGCATATCAGATATTTACATTATGATTCATAACAGTAGCAAAATTACAGTTATGAAGTAGCAACAAAAATAATTTTATGCTCGGCACCTATAGCTCAACTGGCTAAGGCGCCAGCCACGTACACCTAAGGTGGCAGGTTCGAATCCAGCCCGGACCCGCCAAACAACAATGACGGCTGCAACCAAAAAATAGCTGGGTGTTGTGGCGGGCACCTGTGGTCCCAGCTACTTGGGAGGCTGAGGCAGGAGACTCGCTTGAGCCCAGGAGTTGGAGGTTGCTGTGAGCTGTAATGCCACGGCACTCTACCCAGGGGGACAGCTTGAGGCTCTGTCTCAAAACAAAAAAAAGAAAAAGAAAAAAAATAATTTTTTGGTCGGGGGTCACCACAACATGAGGAACTATATTAAAGGGTCGCATCATTAAGGAAGGTTGAGAACCACTGCTTTAGTGGGTGAAGATTAAACCATCATGGTATGTCCACACAGTGGATTACTGTGAAAGAATGAATTACTGATACATAGAACCATGTGAGTGAATTTCACATGCATTGTACAAATTGAAGACACTAACCTCAGAGGGGAACATAGCTTATCGTTCCGTGTATCTCATATTTGGAGCAGGTAAAACTATCCCAGTGAAGAAGAGATCAATTGTTTAGGATTGGGGATGAATTAGAGATTCACGAATCAGGAATGGAGGGTTTGGCCACAGAAGGAAAGTATAAGCAAATTCTTTGGGGATGATTAAGTTTAGCATTCTGATTGTGTTGGTGGTAGTTTTACAGATTTATACATGCATCAAAATCCGTAGAACTGTACACCAAGAAAAATGAATTTTATATAAGTTAAAACAATTCAAAAGGATAAATGAACAAAGATGCAAAACCAATTTTTCAGAAGCAAGGTATTAAAAATGGGACTTTATATATAGGAGTATTTTTCTTTGGTTGTGGAGGGCACTTTGTCTGGAAAGTGTGAAATAGATTTTCATTTTTATTTTCTGTCTCTATAATTTGTCATATGTTTCACCAAGCTTTTGAATGCTTACAGATTGAGTACCTAGTTTATTTAGAGTTTGGTGGAAGCATAGAATTCTTTCCTCAATGTTTTGTTTGCTTTTAAGAAATGACAAGAATAGGCACATGATACCTATTTTGCCCTGAGTTAACATCAGTAGAGTTTTTCAAGTCTTAGTTATCTTCAAACAGCCTGATTTGTTATCCCCCGTTATGGCATTTGAAGCAGATGCCGTTTTAAAACAAAATAACATTCATCACTTATTTTTCTGGGTTTCGGTTTTCTTTTAGACACAATGAGGCATATACATGGACAAACCCCACCTGCTGTGTGCATAACATCATTGTGGGTAAACTCTGGATCGAGCAGTACGGCAACGTGGAGATCATCAACCACAAGTAAGACACTCGAGAGAATCTGTCTGTCCTTTGGTTTTCATCAAGCAGTTCTGGTGGCCTGATTTTTTTTTTTCAAAGAAAAGCTATAGTAGAGCCTGATACAAATTCCAGAATCAGGCATTGTAACTCATGAGTCAACAGAAACCAGTCCATTTAATGAATGGGGTTTATTCAAGCCTCTGATTAAGGAAGGCTGTGTGAACTCTAAGCTTCCTCAGCCCCTGTGAATCTTAATTTCTCAACTCAGCTAATTTTGCTTCTATTGTTTAGTTTTTTTTTTTTTTT